AACGAGATATTCTAACTTAAATAAAATCTTTTGGCCTCCAACTGGTATGCATGCAAAGGTAAACACTTCAGTCACCTTTGTTAGGAAAGGAATACGTTATAAATCATTCTCTGCAATGGAGAAGACTTCCGCACTCGATTCCTAAAGGAACAAACGTAAACGTAAGAGATAAACTATACTTTCTTAAGGTATGCTCTTGTATTCCTCAACGTACGTGTCGGAAGGAATGTCGAATTTTCGACTCAAACGTCGACCGCAGACCGCAGCTACATCTCCACATTATTTACGCCTGTTAAACAGATAAGGGTTTTGTTTTCGAGTTCAAGGGACTTATGTCTCAATGACTCCTAACCAAGTCAATAAATAACTTGATTACAATTCTACTTGAACTTTGCAAAAGTAGCACAAATGAGGGAGCAGCTTTGTTTAAAGTCGTCGTCAAGTTTCGGTATTACTGAAATCCTCGAGATGGTTCATCTAGCAATTCAAAGATCGTGGTTGACGTTCTCTTAACAAATATTTCTAGATTAATAGTACGTTTCCTTGACCTAATAAAGTTTGTTATTTCGAAGGATAACATAGGAACAACATCGTCCGATTGGTTTAGAAAACAAAACAAGAACAAAGAAATAAAACTGAAATATATTTTCTTAAGGTATGCTCTCGTATTCCTCATCGTACGTGCTGCACTATGCAAATGGTTCGATTCAAACAATGAAGCACTCACATTATTTACTCAAGCAGCCTCTTACAGACCGCTGCTAGGTGTCATTATTTACGCCTGTTGAACAGTTAAGAGTTTTATTTTTGAGTTCAAACTACTTACGCTTCAGTAGCCTTAAACCAACGCAACAGAATAGCTTGACTATATTCCTTCTTGAACCTTGCAAAAGTAGCGCAAATGGTCTGGCTTTGTTTAAATTCGTCTTGCAAGTATCGGTATCATAACGAAATCCCTGAGATGGTTCTTCTAGCAATTATAGAAGGTCGTTTTTGACGTTTTCTTAACAAATATTGCTGGATTAATAGTGTTTTTCCTTGGCCTAATAAAGTCTATTATTCCCGTTGATAACATAGGAACAACATCTTCCAACTGATTTAGTTACACCTGTTGAACAGATAAGTGTTTTGTTTTCGAGTTCAAAGGACTTAAGTCTCGGTGACTCCTAAAACAAAGCAACAGAATAGCTTGACTATATTCCTTCTTGAACTTTGCAAAAGTAGCGCAAATGGTGTGGCTTTGCTTAAAGTCGTCTGCAAGTATCAGTATCATAACGAAATCCCTGAGATGGTTCGTCTAGCAATTATGGCAAGTCGTTGTTGACATTTTCTCAACAAATGTTCCTGGATTAATAGTGCTTTTCCTTGGCCTAATAAAGTCTATTATTTCCGTTGATAACATATGAACAACATCTTCCAACTGATTTACATTACAAAACAAGGGCAAGGGTGAAAAATTGACATCTACACATTCTCTACCGCAGAGTAGTTCCCTTTTGCACATGTCTGCCGGCGTGAAGAGGTCTGGATAATTCCTAAAATTAGCTGATTGGGTCTCACAACACATGCCTGAGTTACGTTCCAAGCCAAAATGGCTTTGCTTTTGTGAAGAATTGCAGGAACAGCACAAAGTGCAATGGGCTTTACAGAGTTTTTTTTTTTTTNCTCATTTCTTGGTAGAAAAATTCAATAATACCAAATACATCAAAGACTGACAGCGGAGGCTTTTAGCTTACGATTCCAATAGAAACTGGTAGGGTCTCCCATTTGCAGTTTATAACAAAGATTGCTCTTGAGATAAACATAACAAGCAATTTAAAAGCCTCGGGATCTTTTAAATTTTAACTAGCGTCGGAATAATTAGAGTGTGGATTAATCGCAGGCTTTTAACAAAGGTAAAATAGCTGACAAAAAAAAAAAAAAGCCGCGAAAATGTTGTTTAGATATTGGCCTGCATATCTGCCGTTATTGATGGACTTAGGGTTGCTGAAAATTACCAGACTAGGGCTTGCGATCGTGTCAGTTTATATGACACGTTGGGCATTTGTCCTCGCAATTTTATCCTTTGGCCATTAAAAAATATATGCGCACACGTTCTAGAAACTCGAACATTCTAGCGGATGGAAATGAAATTTAATAGTGACAATGTTTAACATTGTCAATATGTACTTCCAAGTTTTATGACACAAAGCTACTTGCCATGTGCTCCAGCAAAGCAAATCAACGGGAGCTATCTCAGTCAGATTCCTGTTTCCGTTTTTCTAGAGCGTTCTGTCCGCAGAGGTCTTGCTTTCCGCTATTTGAATAACCTGTCTTTTTATTTGTCGGCGGATATGTAAATTCAGGCACAGACCCAAAAATTAATATGTAATGACCGACTTCCATTGAAAAATAATAAGTGTTTGGAAAGGTTTCAGATGCAACTGGCATTTTCTTCCCCACAAACCACGTCACGTAACACTCCGCTTTAAAGTTGTACCAAACCGTTCTGCGGGCGCTTATTCCAGATTTCTGTTCTCTCTGGTAAGAAAATTAATCATTCTGTTCTCTAAATTTATTTAAGGGAATGAAAACCTTGATGATTCTAGTATTCTGAAAAATTGATAGTTGTAGCCAAGTTTGTGGGTCCGGCGTAGTTTTGGATGCGATGCGACGTTTCGGAGAGGAACGCAAACAGATCACGGTTGGAAGTTGCGCGTTAAGTTGCAGAAAAATTACGTTTGAAGTGATCCTCGTTTAAGTTTTGAAACTGAGCCTCATTAAGCGACAAAATACATACTCTTTTTAAGAGAATTACTCGTATGCCAACGTAGGTAGGGTAGTTTTATCTGGTCCATCCGTAATTAAGTTCTGAATCAGTAGGAGACTGAGCGTTAGTAAACAACAGAATTTGAACTGTTCTTTTAGTTCTTGTTTTATCAGTTTGTATTGCGTGGGATCATTAGAATTCATAACATAACATAACATTTGCTAACATGACGTTTAGCATTGTGTCAATCAACAGCCATTGTATTGAGATTGACGGTTAGTCCATCAAGTAAGCATATAAAGGGTATGCAAAGACATCCAAACTGAATTTTTCTCACTTAATGAGAATGCTGTGTATTTGTTTCGCTGTCCGTTTTTTGGATATCGATTGCTTGGCGGCAGAATTGTTAGCGCGTTTGGATTATAAATGTTTCAATTAAGAATCGTTTTAAATTCGGTACGGCCTGGTACCCTCATTTAAGAAAATAAAGTTTTCTGCCGCAAACTTTGAAAATAGAATTTCCTCTGGAGAAAACCCTGGTTATCAAAATTCAACAGGGAATGCATACAAATAAATCGGAAGGAACGTTTATTCAATGACCAAAATTGAATTAATTGGGAACACAAAACTGCTATTCATCTTGAGACGTCAGCTAAAAACAATGCTAGTCTCTAATCGAAGAAGCATAAAGTAGGCAATACCGACAAAAGTCTAAAGATATTACAATTTTTTCAAGTCATGACTGTACCATTATTAACATAACTATTTATCCCGCGCGATGGACAAAACAAAATCTTTAGAAAATCTTCTTTTCTGGTGCACTTCGTTAGGAGACAAACCATTCTCTTGTAATACATTTTTGAAAGATATCTCTCGTTTCCCTAGAGTGCGTTTTTAAATAATTTTAATCTGTTTCATATTAAATGAGAGGGAATTGCAGTTGGCGGTATATGAGAACGAAGTTTAACCTCTGACTATGTAAAATAATTTTTGCGGTATTTTTTTAAAAGGCCCGTTTTGAATAATCTCCAAGAAAAAAAAATGCAAATTAATTCAAAGTAGTAACCTCTAGCGATCTTGAGGCGAGAATGCATTTGCTCATTAAAAAAAGAAATACTGCAACAAGATTCAATTAGAATTCTGAAATTAAAGTTAATGCGGTCAAAAGCCTCCCTGACGAACACTTATTTTGTCACTTATTTTACGCAGGACCCATGTTGATAGCAGTTTTTATAACTAAAATGGTCATCTTGCATAAATATGTTTTATATTATTACATCATAACACTTCTAGACTGAGCGATCGCCTCCAGAAAGCAACCATTTAAAAACTAAATTATCGGCCAACTCACAATACGGAGAACCTATCGTTGCGACAACCTCCTGAAATTGAGTGGGACCACTTTGATGGGTTGATGGTTAAGAATTTGCTAAAATCTATCCAAATTAAATTACTACTTCTTTTTGAGAGAAAGTGTTTTGGGGATCATAGATACTTTTGCCGAGGAATAATGATTAAAGACTTCCCCTCGTAATCGACACCTTGCTGTGATTATTTCGAAGCGACCACACAGGCCTCACACTTTATCAAAGTTTCGACAGTACTGACGGATACAGTGGATAATTCTATATCGCTAGCAGATTCTTCCACGGTTTTAAATGAAACTATAGTAATGCAAGTATAAATGTATATCTGCTTATTTACAGTGCTAAATATGAAGTGACACCATATATGTGTTCCTGTCTGGCTTTTTAATGAGCTTCTTCTTCTCTCAGCTGACTCAGAATCAATACTTTGGTCACGTTTTGAGCTACTGATTTAAACAGTTGGTCTGGCACAGCGTCTAGTTAACTGTGTGTCTCTCTTCCTGAATGTGTCAGAAAATAATACGAGAATACAAGTCAATATATGAAATATCATACCTATGAAATTTTACCACATAATCGGGTCCCAGATTTGGTACATCGTGGCTCTTCTGTCATGTGTCTAGTTCATATTCTTCAACCTCTACTGGTATATTATGAACTCACAACTTGACCAGCTTCCAGCTGGCTTGATAGCTCTGTTGGTAGAGCACTGTATCGGTATCGCAGAGGTCATGGGTTTGAATCTCGTTCAGGCCTGAATTTTTTTTCAGGCTTTAATTCACAACTGCTCAATTTGCGTATAAATGTGATGATCAATCATGTCTTCATATCTTTCTCCGCGATTCAAATATATGATATTTCATATATTCACTTGTATTTTCCAGATAGAGGTAACAATGGCAACGAATAACACATCATTGGCCAGACCAACAGAGTCCATACTTCATATTAACAAAGAGGAAGGATATTTCTGGTGTTCTCTGTTTATTCTTGAGGCGATCATCATCGTTGTACTCAATATGTTTACGATTATCGTCTTTACCAAGGACCGCCATTTGCGCAAGCGCAGTACATATCTCCTAATCAACCTATCAGCGGCTGATATCGGTGTGGGAGGACTTGTTATACCAACTGCTGTTTTTCGTCGAGGGAACACTTATGGACTTTGGAATGTTGAGATGACTCATGCGTGGTTCATTTCCACACATGGAGTTGACACACTGTTTTTTGGGTGTTCTCTTGCGTTTTTGGTCTCCATTTCAGTTGAGAGACTGTACGCTACAAGAAAACCAATGAGGCATCGGTCTATGACAGGAATGGCATACAAAATTTGGATGTCTTGCGTATGGGTTGCATCTTTCCTTTATACAACTGTCGTAGTTTTGTTCTTGTTTTACGACATAATCGGGTTGCAGATTTGGTACATCGTGGCTTCATGCGTCTTCGTTTCGCTTTTGATTTTAACCTTTAGTTACTGCGCGATATTTGTCACAGTGCGATGCAGTGAACAACCCCAGCACTCGCATCGCGGCCAGGTTAGAAAGGAACGAAAGCTTACTATGACACTGTTCATGGTCACGCTGGTCTCCTTGTCAGTCTGGATTCCGTACGTGTTATTCACTTTCCTGGAGTCTCATCTGTCACGACAGTTCTCTCCAGAAGGGCTTTTACGCGCGCGGGGCGTTTGTGAGGCTCTATTCTTTGCCAACTCCTTTGTGAATCCGATACTGTACACGATCAGAATTCCACAGTTTAGAAGAGCAAGTATTAATCTGATAACTTGTCCTGCAAAGACTGGAAGCGCACAAATGTCTTCATTGTCGTTGGACAGTGTAGGAGTGGACAAATAACAAGAGGTTCGATTTCAGGTACTCATAGGAAGGCGTTCATGTTTTGGCGTACAAGGGTAGTGTGGTCCCGTGGGATTTGAGGAGAGCCATGCAAAACAAAAGGCCTGAAATAGGTGTGGGTGTGGCCCGAAAAAAGTCTTGTTAAGTCGGAAAAGCACCTGATACAATTGATTTTAAGTTAGGCCTTTCCACAAATATCCAGATATTTTGGGGTTAATATTTAGAGGTTTCCGAGATATTTAGAGAATTAAGGGATATTAAGGAAATATTCAGAGCTTTCTTGGCTAAGACCCATGGTGTCTTCTCTATTTTCTTTAGACAATACTCAGTTCTATGTCACTGGGGAAAAAAAAACCGAGTTCAGCAATTTCCCACTTGAAACATGTATCCCATTAATTTCTCCAGGAAGCTAAAGAGCTAGTGAAACTTAATACATGGTGAAATTTGTAGCTCTTTGGGTGTAATATTCAAGGAGAAATTGTCTTTCAAA